AGGGGGGTGGAGGGGGTGGGGGCGCGCGACCGTTAGCGCGTGGCCGTTAGTGGTGCCCCTCCACCAACGGTCAGTGTCAGCTGTGGTTCCCAGGGCCGCCTTCTCCCTGCGTCGCCCTCCGCGTGACCCGGCCCCCTGTTTGCGCGCCCATCCCTTTCGCCGGCGCAAGTCACCGCGCGGGGCGGCCGCCCGTGAGGTAGCTACCACGGCTTGTGACAACGAATAAAGCTCCGGGACAGCGGCGCCCTCGGCGACAGCTGGGCGGCCAGCCCTGGCTGGGAGCTGCGGCCGTTGCGCTACCGTGAGGAGTGAACGGCGAAGCGACCTCCGGCCCGGCCCCGCACCCCCCGCCCGCAGGCGCGACATGAGCCTAGTCTGGCGTCCGCGGGATGCTCCTTGAGCCCCTCCTCCGGCTGTTACCTCCAGGGGACCGTAGTGGCCACACCGACACGTATTTTCCAAATAAATCATCCTTTATTCTTGCGGCGGCGGGGCCGAACACGTTTATTTTTAATTTCCTCGACAAGCTTTTGCCCAGCGCTCATCCAGTGAAACAACCTGGTGGCTGTTTCAAGGGAGCGTCCACTCGTTGGAAACCTCGCACTGAGCCGCTAGCACCTGCACGTTCCTCCTCAAATGCTTTGAAGACTGGCACTCCCAGGAGCACAGATCCCACTCCTGAACGACTGGGTCCAGCGATGCAAAGAACTGAAGCTACGAGGTTTTGTGTCTGTTGCTAGATGGTGGGGGTTCGCTCAAGTGGCGCCGCCAGTGCACGCCCTTCCCTCCCCTGCCAGCCTGTCCCCGCGGCTGCGTCGAGTAAGAGGCCATCACGTGTTTGGGTGCACGTGCGACCTGTGGGTTAGGACAGTTCAAACCCAGGGCAGTGCGGGCCGAAATTCCGGGCAGCTTGGTGCTCGATTGGTGTGCTCAAGCCTCGCAGTTGGCAGTCCCCGAAATCCCGTCCAGCTGTGCCCCCCCCACGTGGGATGCCCGTCCTGAGTCACTCACCCCCACCTGGGAAAAGCTGTTCTCTCCCCTGACTAGTCACAGCCCTTCCTTCAGAGGAGTGGGTTATATTTCCTTTGGCCCCTGAGATCTCTCCCAGCCCGTGAAAACTAAATTTGTAGTCTGCTGACACAGACGGGGGAGGAGCTGCAGGGGTCTTCTTCACTTTGGAACATCTTACCCTTGGCTCAGAGCTGGACAGAGGTAGGAGCGGGTCAGACTTCAGTGGCCATCTGAGCCCAGTGAGTTGGCAGTGACAGGAGCTTAAGGAGTGATTTGTTAGTTTTGTCTCTTGAAAGCACGTTTTACTTAGGCAGCCAGAATTCCTCAGGCTCCTTTTTTTTTTTTTTTGTGATTGTTCCTACAAAAGTGTCACCTCCTTATGTAGCTTTTTTTTTTTTTTTTTTTTAAAGATTTATTTATTTGTACATACAGAACTGGGGTACAGGCCAGAGGCTCAGGGGCGGTGAGAGGCTTCACCAGAGACAGAGCGGGGAGCAGAACAGGCAGATTGACGAAGTACACTGCTGAGGGGAGCAGCGGGCGGGTCAGGAGAGGTCTGCCTCGCCATGTGGTCTCCTCCGGGGCAGGCGGGATTTGAACTCATGCGGAAGTGGCTTTAGCTTCTCAGTGCAGTGCTTTAACCCGCTGCGCCACCAGGGAGGGCCCTCCTTATGTAGCTTTTACTGGGGAAGCCTAAGGAACTGATACTTGGGGACAAAAGGAGCCTTTTTCCTGAGTGCTACCTTTAGTAGGCACAAGGAAAACGACTGTTTAACCAGTTCAAGCATTGGCTCTAAGTTCTTGCACTGCTAGCAGTAACGCTGACGTTGGTCAAATGCATCTGTGACCTGTCAGTGCCTTGGTCTCCTCATCTTGAAAATGGAGATAATCAAGATAATCATGGTACCTACTGCATGGGTATTTGGGTGGCAACATATGTGAAATCCATGGAGCAGTTCATAATATAATTTAATAATCATAAACTGTTGTTAGCTTAGATTCTGGGTGGGTCCCTTTTATTGGCTTGGGAACTCGCTTTCATCCTGTGAAACTTGATAACAAATGGAGAATTAAACTGTTGATCAAGCCCTGTTTATATTTATAGCTGGAAGAGCCTGTATTACCCTCATATTTGTATAGAAGAATTCAAGATAAGAGAGGCTGAAGCGAATGAAGACTATAAAAGAAAAAAAGAAGGAACATCAAAGATTGAGGTAGAGTAGGTGACATGAGGAAGTATGGGAGAAAATCATCAAACTAAGGGTGTATTTTGCATGTTTTCCCCCTTTGCATGGTCTTGGAGGCTCAGGTTGGGTAGTGGGAAGCACAGCCCCTGGAAGCCTGGTAATCTGTCTCTAGAGCCCTACTGCCTAGCTCTATGTCCTGGCTCTTAGCATTTGCTAGCCTATGTGGCCTGGGACAGGTTGCTTCACATTTTTAATGCCCCAATTTCATCATCTGGAAAACAGGTGAATAGCAGCATCCATTTTTTAGAGCATTCTATAGATTCATTAAGGTAATACATATAAACTGTAAAGAAAACTACCTAGTGATAAGAAATTCTTAACTTTAGTATCTTTTTATGGTTATAAGATATTTTAGTATCTTATTATGGTTTATGAATGAAACCACCTAATACTCAGAGTAGGTAGAAGAAATAGAAAAAAATGATTTTGAGCCTGCATTCATTCCAGCAACACAGGCAATACAGGCTCTGGTAGTAGATGTTACGTTCTCACAGTTCAGATAATTCAGTGGATGTGTTTTGTTTTAAAACAGAATAAAAGCTCATGTCTTAGCCATTTTTGACCCTTGTTGAAACCCATAGATGGCATCTTGAGGGAAATGTTTCAAGGGGTGTGGACAGAATTCTAAAAGACCACCTTGTATCTCTTCTTTTTGTATAGAAAATCTGCCAAGGCTAGAAGGGTAATCCAGAGAAAGCCGTCCTCAGGGCCTGGTAAGAAAGACTGGAGGTTCTGTTTGACCGCTCTGCCTCCCTACCTCAGCAGAGGTCATCTGTGTAGGCCAGTAAATATATCCACTTACTGACAACCCTGTTTCCTTCTCAAATTTTCTTAATATGCCAAAGAACTCAGGACTTATTATTTTTAAATGTCACACCCAAAGTTCAAGAAACAAAGCCTCTTGAAACAAAGATATATGAAGTGAGCAGTTGCAGCCAGCTCCTTCAAATGTGACCAGAATTATATAAAAGCCTAATGATATCAAGTAACATTTTATACCAACCACTCTCCTTGTCAAATGACCTTCTTCCCAAACTCTATTCCTTAGACAGGATCCCAAAGTGAATTCTAAACATTCTCTTTTCTAGTGTGCCGGCTATGTCTTCGAGAACCGGGGGATCCCGAAAAATTAGGGGAATTTCTTCAGAAAGACAATCTTAGCGTGCATTATTTTTGTCTTGTGAGTATAAGCCCCCCTTTTGCTTAAAATGTGCTATCATTTTTGCTATATCATCTGTTCTGGTTTTGCCTCCAGCATCAGATCCATAGTCTTGTTTTTCTACATAATTTTTTTCTTTTAAAATCTGATTTTTCCAAAGTATTATATGTACCTGGTATAAAATCCTGTCTATAAAGTATGTATGATATGAAGTCTCTTCCCAAAACAGTATTCCCAACCCTAGTCCCTCTCCCCAGAACACTTCCAGTTATTTTTTTCCTCAGTTTCTTTTTTCACTAGGTATACTTTGCATACTTCAAAATACTCCTGTATTAACTTTATAGTTTGGTGAATTTTAACATAGTCCACGTAAAATATCACTCTGTCAAAATAATATTTCCATGACTTTAGTACTTTTCCTCCTTCCCTCTTCAGATTAATTCCCTTATCACTGTTCTGATATATAGTTTATTTTTGCCAGTTCTTATACTTCATATAAATAGAATCATACAGAGTGCACTCTTTTGTGTGCAGCCTGTCTCTCTTAAAGCACTGTTTTGAAGATTCATTCTTGTTTCATCAAGAGCTTGTGCATTTTTATCACCTAGTAATATTTTGTTTTGTGATTACATTATAATTTGACTCTCCATCTGTTGATAGGCATTTAAATTGTTTACATTTGGTAGCTAATCTGAAAAAAACTGCTATGAACATTCCTTTTATGAATTTTTTTTTGTGAACTTGTGTTTTCACTTCTCTTGGGTAAATACTTGACAGTCATTTTATGCTAACTATACTTTATGTGAAGTTATGCTAACTATACTTAACTTTATGTGAAGTTAACTTTATGCTAACATACTTAACTTTATGTGTACCAGTTTATATTCCCATAGCAATTTATGAGAGTCCCAACTGCTGATATTCTTACCAAAAGTTGATATTTTCAGTCCTTTTAATTTAGCCAGTCTCCTAGGTGTATATTTGGTGGTTCTAATTGGCTTGTTTTCTGCTGACTAAAGATGTTGAACTTTTTATGTGCTTATAGCCATTCATATTTTCTTTTGTGAATTGTCTGCACAAATATTTTATCCATTTAAAAATTGTTTTTTTGTTTTACTAAGAGTTCTATATATATTCTGGATACAAATCTATCTTCAGATATATGTACTGTGACTATTTTCTCCCAGTCTGTTGTTTAACTTTTTTTATTTTAAAAAAAGATTTATTTATTTATGCATACAGAACTGGGGTATAAGCCAGAGGCGCAGGTGCAGTGAGAGGTTTCATCAGGAACAGAGTGGGGAGCAGAACAGGCAGATGGATGAAGTACACTGCCGAGGGGAGCAGCGGGCGGGTCAGGAGCAGTCTGCTACGCCTTGTGGATCACCTGCGGGTGGGAGATCGAACTCATGCTGATGGGCTGTAGCTTCTTATGTGCTTTAACCAACTGCCCCACCAGGGAGGCCCCACTTAACCTTTTTTTAATGTGTTTTGAAGAACAAAAGGCCTTTGATGAAGTTCAATTTATCTTTTTTTTCTTTTATGGTTAGTACTTTTTTTATATGTCCCAAGAAATCTTTACTTATAGAATTATCTCAGTGCCTTTGTCAAAAATCAACTGACATATCTGTGTATCTGGATGATCTATATTGTGTTACTGATCTATGTTTTATCTTTATGCTAGTGTACGTGTGCCTTGATTACAGTGGTTTTACAAATAAGTGTTCTAAGTTCTACAATCATTTCGAAGCTTGTATTTGGACTTTTTTCTTTTAATCGTATTTAGTTTGTCAATTTTTCTTTAAAAAAAACCTCTCGGGTGGAATGGGGAATGGGATCAAAAACGGGGGTGGGGTGGGGAGGGAAATGCACGGGATTATGGTGATGGCACACGGGTGACTTGGTGATGGGAAACCGCGGGGATTACAACTGAGATGGGAAAAAAAATGTACAAAATGATGTAAAAATAAACTGTTATAAAAAAAACTCTCGGGATTAGGATTGCATTAAATTCACAGATCAGTTTGGGAAGAAATGACAGACAGTATTGAATCTTTCAATTCATGGATGTAATGTATTTTCTCATTTATTTTGGATTTTTAAAAAATATATATTTATGCATACAGAACTGGTGTGCAGGCCGGAGGTGTAGGGACAGTGAGAGGATTCGCCACAGAGAGAAGAGCAGAACAGGCAGAGCTATGAAGTACACTGTTAAGGGGAGGAGCGAGAGGGTCAGAAGAGGTCTGCCCCACCATGTGGGTCACCTCCTGGGCTGGGGATGAGCCAGCACCGAAGCACGGCAGTTTGCCTGTGCCTGCCGTGCTGTGCCTTAACCCGTTGCACCACCAGGGAGGGCCTATTTTGGATCTTTTAAAATTTATCTCAGCTTTTTTTTCTCCTCAGTGAAGAAGATATATGTAACTTTTAAAAATATCTTCCTAAATATTTTGCAACTTTTATGCTATCGTAATTTTTTTTTCCAGTATGTTACTGGCACAGAAATGCATTTTATTTTTGTGTATTGATTTTATGTCCTGCAATCTTGTTAATAAAGTCATGCTAGTTTAGTTATGTGTGTGTGTGTGTTTTTTTAAATAAATACCTTAGGATTTCCAATGTGCACAATCATGTCATATATGAATATACTGTGCTCTTTTCAATTTTTATATCTTTTACTTCTTGCCTTATTATACTGGGTGGGCCCTTCAAACTAGTGTTGAATAAATGTTATGTAAATGAGTATCCTTATCTTGTTCTCAACCTCAAGTGAAAGATCCAGTTTTTTACCATTAAAATGTAAGGTCAGGCCCTCCTTGGTGGCACAGCTGGGTAAAACAGAACACTGCAAAGCTGGCCTCAGCCGCTTTGGTGTGAGTTGGATCCCCACCCTGGAGTTGATCCACACAGTGTGGCAGACTTCTCCTGTCTCACCTGCTGCTCCCCTCAGCAGTTTACTTAGTCAATCTGCCTGTTCTGCTCCCAGGCTCTGTCTCTGGTGAATCCTCTCACTACCCCTGCACCTTTAGACCTTTAGCCTGTACCCTAGCATAAATAAATAAATATTTTTAAAAGTTCCTTTAAAAATATATGTGTATATATATACATATATATATAAGGTCAGCTGTAGGTTTTTCCATATATGCTTTTCATCAGGTTGAAGAAATTCCCTTTTATTTCTAGTTTGCTGAGGGAATCATGAATATGTATTGAATTTTGTAAAATACTCTCTCTGCATCTATTGAGATGACTGTTATTTTCTTTATTTTGTTAAATGGCTTGTTACATCAATTGAATTCTTAGTGTTAAACTAGCTTATAACATTTCACATATAAGTCCTGCCTGGTCTTGTTGAATTGCCCTTTTTATATGATACTGTATTCAATTGCTAATGTTTAGCTTTATTTTCACATCTATGCTGATGAGAAAGGTTAGTCTGTGATTTTCCTCTCTTGTAATTCATGTGAGATCTTGGTTAGTTTTTATGCAATTACAATCATACATATTTTCAACATAAAAATAAACATACTATGCAAAATGTTTTGTATTTTTTTAATTTATGTATTTATCGAACTCTCCAAATTGAACATAATTGAGCTAGCTTTTCCATTTTAATGACTAAGTGATATTCTACTGTATGGATGTGCCAAAAAGGTTTTAAACAAACATTTACTAGAGACACTTAGATTGTTCTAATTTTTCATTATTGATTATCCTCTTACAGTACTAGTACATGTTCACTATAGAAAACATGAATAATGCTTAAAATTTAAGTAAAATAGAAATCACTCATATTATTAAAACTGAAATAGTGATTGTTTTGTAATGTACATATGTTTTTTTTTTAAACATTTATTTATTTATTCATACAGAACTGGGGTACAGGCCAGAGGCTCAGGGGTGGTGAGAGGCTTCACCAGAGACAGAGTGGGGAGCAGAACAGGCAGATCGACGAAGTACACTGCTGAGGGGAGCAGCGGGCGGGTCAGGAGAGGTCTGCCACAACATGTGGTCACCTCCGGGGCAGGCGGGGATCGAACTCATGCGGAAGCGACTTTAGATTCTCAGTGCTGTGCTTTAACCCGCTGCGCCACCAGGGAGGGCCATAATGTACATATGTTTTAAGCCTAACTGGGAACATACAGCCTCAATCCAGGTATTCTTAAGTCTCTAACCTTGTAGATCACCTTTTCCATAATGTTAAAATTACCTGAACCTCCATTACACATTACATGTAATTACATGTAGGAAGTCCTGAACCCTCTCCAATAGTTTTAGAAAATTCCTGGGGTGGAGCTGGGATGCTGACATTCTTCCAGTGTATGTACACACATGTTGTTCGTAACAGTTTTTTTGCCTTTGATTTCCCATTTTAAACATTGCTTTGGGGGCTTTTCAGAAATAAAAGGCTCTTGAAAATATGTTTCTAAATAAAAGTTCAATTCCTCCCTTCTTCCCTCAGATTTTAAAGCATGGGCTTCCCTCCTGCAATTTTCTGAGAAGAATATTCTAAATTGACAGGCATTATCTTGGGAGGGATAGGGGCATCAGTTCTATAGGCCTGCATGTGAATGTTGGTTTTGCTGCCTTCTTGCTATGTGACACTGATCATGTCCCTCACCATGCTATTTCAGTGACTTCTGTATGATGGATGTCAGTAGCGTTTGGTAAGTCTGAAATTAGTCAATATATAGGCAGTGTTTTCCCAAGGTGATGGCACGCAATAGCAGTCCTAACAACTTAATGCAGAGGTGAGGAAAGTTCATGTTCTGGAATCCTTGTTCTTGAGCAAGTCACAAAATCTTTCCTATAATGGGGGTGATACAAGTACTTCCTAAAGCTGTTAAGGTTAAATGAAATAATATTTTAAAAGATCTTAAGAGTGCCCAACATATAATTAATGCTATGTAAATCATTGTTAAATACATTTACTCTGTATGCATATATATTCCACTTTACTTTCTTTGCTTTCTTGTCAATTCTCACCCCACTAAATATCTCACTGATCGTCACTATTGACATCCTGGTTTTGCTGACTGCCTCCCCAGATTCTATCCAGCAAGCTACCTCAGAGAGGACAGCCCAACAGAGGTTTCCATGGATTCTTGCCTGAAGACATCAAAAAGGAGGCAACCCGGGCTTCTAGAAAGGTTAGATCCCCTGAAATGGGAGCCTTAAGATAGTTCTCTCCTCAGACCTCTCCTTTGCTTTATTGTTTTCTTTGCTAACTGCTAGTTTAAAAGTCAGAGGATTCTTAGATTTCCCAACTGGTCCTCTAAGTTCCATGTTTCTCTGAGGCATAGCATCCTAAGTGAGTAAAAGGAGCAACTTAAAAAAAAAAAAAAAAACAGAGAGAATCTAGTGCTACTTGAGGCTCAGCTTCAGGGTTCCCAGGATTTTCAGGTCAATGAGGAAATGAAATAGCTGTTGCTTTACAGAATTTCCGTTCCATAAAATGAAGTCCCACAGAATGTTTGTCCTTCCTGGGACCCTAAGCCCTGCCTTGGATCTTATTTGCAGATCTGCTTTGTGTGCAAGAAAAAGGGAGCTGCCATCAACTGCCAAAAGGATCAGTGCCTCAGAAACTTCCATCTGCCTTGTGGCCAAGAGAGAGGTTGCCTTTCACAATTTTTTGGAGAGTACAAGTGAGTGATGAAAGGAAAAAATTGGGCTGTCCTCTTGCATTTTAGTATTTAGCTGCTTATGAAATCAGAGTCCGTTTCTCAGGGGCCTCTTTTGATCCACTAGTGAATCTGTTTCTCCATTCAATAATGAGAAACAGTATCTAAACTTGAAGATTTCATAGGGGTTACTCTTGCTTCCCATCTTCTTCTTAAATTACAAACAGCTGAGGTTCTTAGACAGCTGCTCAAAACTAAGTGGGGCTTTCAGGGACTGAGATAATCCTAGGAGCTTTGCTCAGTGGGAGAGCAGCTGTGAGAAGGCATGTGACTATTCACCCATTCCTTCCCTTGAGCTTGGAGGTTCACTGGACACCAGCTAGATGGTTAGTTCTCTGCCCTTCCTAGGCCAGGCAGCTGGAAAACTGCACAAGAACAAGGCAGAAACCTAGCCTGTTTACTCTGTCACAGATCATTTTGTGGAAAACATCGACCAACACAGGACATCCAACGGGGGAATGGAAGGGAAAAAAGCTGTGTCCTGTGTTGTGAAGACTTATCCCAAGCGAGTGTTGAAAACATCCAGAGCCCATGTTGTAGTCAAACTATCTATCACCGCAAGTGCATACAGGTAGGACTTGTTCTGCCCTGAGCACTGTGGACATCAAGTACAGTGTTCTGGAGACCCTGAACCCAGGTCTGTTGGGAGAAATAACCACATTCATAGGTCCAGCCCATCCTATATGCATCCTGAAGACATAAGTCAGTGTTTCCAATGAGCACCCAGCCTTTGCATCTCCGCAGGGTATTCTTCTGGAGGGGAGGGGATTGGATTCTGTCTTGCCTTTAGCATCAGCATATTTGAATTGGGACAATTTAGAGCCAGAAGCCTCTCCTACTGAGAAGTTACTTTCTTGGTGTTAATGACTCACTGTTTTTGGCTATATAAATTAAATTCAAACTTATGCTTATTAAGGTGGTTTTCAGAGTAATAATCTGCCGGACTACCTCCTGGGTTTGAATCCTTATTTGATTATCTAATAAACTCTTTGCCTAACTATTCTTGAGACTTTATTGTTCAGTTAACAAGCCCTTCCACAGTCGCCCTGCTAATAACCTGGGAACGTAGTCTCTACTCTGAGCTACATGCTAAGAGGCCTGTATGCAGGGCTTGTTCCAGGCAATTAGAGAAAAGTCAGCCCAGTCTGGTCATCCTTGACGTGTAGAATCTCATTCCTGATTAAGATTTAAGCTGATGGGAAACCTACGGGGATTACAATTGAGATGAAAAAAAAAAAAAAAGTAAAAAATGATGTAAAAAATAAACTATTATATAAATAATAAAAAAAGAAATTGAAATTTACAAATTTCCTATTTATAAGTAGGAAATAGAACAACAAAAATGAAAATGTCCAATGGACAAATAGATTTTTAAAATATTAATTAAAAAATAATCATGCTATAAAAAAAAAAGATTTAAGCTGAGTAAAATCCTCAGATGGGTAGAGAAGATGAGTTCATGCTAAAATGGGTCAACTCGCCTCAAAATCGGTCCTGCTTCCTGAGATGGCAGGGAAGGGAAAACTGACTCCTAGAGGGTCAGCACTGCCAAGCTCTATGGTGGGATATTACAGTTGAAGTACTCCTGAGAGTTGTTTTGAGTGTTTGGTCCCAGGTGAACTGGATTTGCAACCCTTACCCTAACTTCCCAAACTCCTTTTCCTGTAACCCTCAGTCAAGCTCTCTAGTAACATCTTTTTTTGTGAGATGAAGGTGGAGTGGGGTGAAAAGTGATCAAAGAGGATTTTTACAAACATAAATTCTCTTACAGAAATATGCCCACACGTCAGCAAAGCATTTCTTCAAATGCCCACAGTGTAACAATCGAGAAGAGTTTCCTCAAGAAATGCTAAGAATGGGAATTCATATTCCAGACAGGTAGTGGAAACTCTAAAGCAAGAATTGAGCCAGGGAATGGGTTGCATAGATTTCTAGAGGAGGTGAGTGTAAGGATAGTTCAGAAAATGAAGTAGCAGCCAAGGCATTGATATACAGGGAAGAGAGAGAGGTACAGGGTGGAGAGAAATTTATAATGAGCAAAAGAAAAGGGGGGGATAAGTGGAGGTGGCGGGTAGGCGTATATCTGAAGAGTGCTCTGGGGATCAGAATTCCCCCAGAGGGTGGGTTCTTGGAATTCACACAGAGGTTCCTTAGTTCCTGTTTCAACTAGTTCATCCACTTCAGCTACTCCAATTACTTTGAACAGCCACTTACCAAGACTGTTCAAAGTATTCAAGCAGCCAGTTTAATTTCTTTTGCTGTGCTGCCTTGAATTCTCCTAGTTCCTCCCAAGTGGACAAAGTTTTCACCAAGTGATTATGTGTTCCTTACTCACTGTTTCTTCTCCTGCTACAGAGATGCTGCCTGGGAACTGGAGCCAGGGGCTTTCTCGGAGTTGTATCAGCGTTACCAGCATTGTGATGCCCCCATCTGTCTGTATGAACAAGGCAGAGACAGCTTTGAGGATGAAGGGTAGGGAAAGATCTCTCACTGGTGCCATCTTAGAGTTAGCCCTTGACCACAGTTATTAGGTGTAAGAAATTTCCTTTGTGTACAGACCTCCAGGTGAACATTAAGAATACTGAGTCCCATTCTTGACCAACTGGGACTTATTTATCCAAGTGAACAGGTCTCAGAGTTCTTCTCTTTGTGTGCAATGGGGAAACACAGGGTCAGTTCCTTTCTAAGTTCATCTTATGGCTGGCTGACCTGACTGTGGGGTCCTGGCATTAGTACTCAGTAACATATCTGGTATGGATAAAATGAGTGGAGAGTGAAAAAATGTCTGGGAAGTCCTCAGCAAAGGCCTGGTCTATAGTAAATATCCTGAGAATGGCAGTGTTAGAAATCTGTCTCACAACCCTTCCTTGGCTTTTTCTGTAGGAGGTGGTGCCTCATTCTGTGTGCTACATGTGGATCTCACGGAACCCATAGAAACTGCTCCTTTCTTAGATCCAATAAGAAATGGGAGTGTGAAGAGTGTGCACCTTCTGCTGAAGCCACAGGTGGGACTGGAGGGGTGGTCTGGTCTAAGAATTGGGATGGGGCTTTGTGATTGTCTGGAAAAGGAGGCAGGCATGGCACCTAATGGGAGCTTTTAGTTAGTGCCTTTAGTTTTGGAAGGGAAGTGGGTAGAGAGGGGATCTGCACTGGGAGAGACTGAGGGTTGATTTTTCCTATCCCCTACTTTTCTTTCTTCACAGACTACACACCTGAAAACTCAGGTTACATCTCCTGCTGCAGCAGCACCTTCTACTCTGAGGATCTTTTCTGCAGAGACACTGGCCTGGAAGAGAATCCGGGCCCTTCTTGGATTGATGGGCCAGAACCTTCCTTATTAGAAAAGCCAGAGTCCTCTGGTGGCAGGAGCAGCCACTCCTGGTTGTCCAAGGATGTCAAAATCACGAAGAACTGCAAAAAATCCAAGTAACAGCTGCCACATACATCAGGTAGAAGCTGTGTTCCTCTGCAGGGTGTGGAGGAGAGAACATTTTGGGACTGTGAGACAAAGAAAGGGCCAGCATGGAGACATGAACCAAGGAAAGAGAAGGCCTAGGGGAGTGTGAGGACAGAGCAGAGTCCAGATGGCAATGGATTGTGTTTATGGCTAGGAGAGTGCCTCTGCTTTCTCTCTCTGACCCCAGAGGAGCCTTTTTTCTCCTCTTCCTCCGAGATTATTTCACCTTAATCTGGCCCTCATATGTTTCCTCTTACTTCACCCACATTTGTTAATACACAATAAAGCTTTTCTCTCCACTGGTGTCTCCTTATAAATTCACTCTGGAATGTATCTAGCATAACTAAGGAGTCTGGAGGTTAGAGTGAGAGAATAGGAAACCCCTTCTCATCTACAAAACTCAATAAACTAAATAAGCAGTTTTCAATTTAGAGCATAGATGTGTTTTTACAGGGAAATCAATTTCGACAAAAATTTCCATCATTGCGTAAACACAAGGATTCTCATCAGAGAGGTGAGCAAGCCCAGAATCCACACTAACCTAAGACTAGACCACTTGCAAAGCCTGGGGTCCTGGACTCATACAGGCAAAAGGGACTTCACTCAGTCCAGACAGCAGGGTCTTCAGCACCCCTCCACTCAAACCCTTGCCCCCTCGTGGACATTTCCATCTTGGGTGACGGAGTCTTGCCAGGACGTTTTAGGCAGGGCATCTAGAGTGGGAATCTGGCAGAAGGTCTTGGGAGAAATTGAATAGATCCTCTCTCTCATTTTGTCTGTTTTTAATGATTTTGTGGAATCTGCTTAGAACCTCAGGACCATTGCCAGATACTTAGTTCTCAGGGTCTCACTAAGTTATTGTCACTAATGCTGGCAGATTGTGTTTGTGCAACCATCCCAGGCCAGTACGTTCATTGTCAGTTCACGGATGAAAAGATAATTTTGGAGCCTTTGGTAGAGTTTTACTGGCCTTTAATGCTGAATGGAGGACAGACCAGGAATCTCAGTATATTTCTCTAGCCAGCTCCTCCCTCTGCCCTGTAGCCCCTCCCCTCGGCACAGGTGTTCGGTTTACATATACGCATGCCCTGTGCTCTCTGGCCCAGGGGTCCATTATTACAGGCCTGTGTGCAAGGCCACAGGTGCCAATCGTGGAGGCTAATGGCGGGAGGGCATAAAAAACCTGACAATGCATTACCCTGTGGATGGGATTCTCATTTTGAGTGTTGCTGACCCATGGAGACTTACATCAAGGTATGTACGGTTTCAGATTTGACCAGATTCACTTGGAATCATGTGGGGAGGCAGATATATGTCTTCATTACTTGGGCAAAGTACTATAGACTTAAAAAGTTTTGAGAAGTACTGAAAGAGTTAAGAAAAAGTCTTGACTTATGATTCCCTACCTATGGGTCTGCTCCCTAAAGACAAACCTTTCTACTTCTTAGTCATATCTTGATTTATTAGGTACTATTAATTTTCTATTATTTTAACAGAGATTTAGCACCTTTAAATCTTTCCCATCTTAGGGGCCCTCCCTGGTGGCGCAGCGGGTTAAAGCACTGCACTGGGAGGCTTGAGCCACTTCCGCTGCCCGCTGCTCCCCTCAGCAGTGTACTTCTTCGATCTGCCTGTTCTGCTCCCCACTCTGTTCCTGGTGACCCTCTCACCCTCCCGCATCTCTGGCCTGTACCCCAGTTCTGTATGAATAAATAAATCCTTTAAAAAAAAAAAACTTTCCCATTTTAGAGCTTCCATTTGACCCAGCAATCCCACTCCTCGGTATCTACCCAAGAGAGACAAAAACACTGATTCAAAAAAACACCATGTTTATTGCTGCTTTATTTACAATAGGAAAGACATGGAACCAACCCAAATGCCCAAACGTAGATGACTGGATTAAAAAGATGTGGTACATATACACAGTGTAATATTACTCAGCAACCAAAAAAAGTAAACACATGCCTTTTGCAGCAACATGGTGGAGCTGGAAGGGATCATGCTTAGTGAAATAAGCCAGAAAGAAAAGGAAAAATACCGGGTGGTTTCATTCATAGCAGGAATATAAAGGGGAGAAAATAATAATAATGAGCAACTATATACCAGAGACATTTTACAGGGGTGAAGTGGGGAGTGGGATCAAAACTGTGGGGCAGGGGGAAGTGCACTGGACTGTGGTGATGGCACATGGGTGATTTGGTGATGGGAAGCCCACGGGGATTACAACTGAGATGGAAAAAGGCACAAAATGATGTAAAAATAAGCTATTATTAAAAAAAAAACTTTCCTGTTTTTTTTTTAAAGATTTATTTATGTATGCAGAGGTGCAGGGGAAGTGAGAGGATTCACCAGACAGAGTGGGGAGCAGAACAGGCTGAAATACACTGCTGAGGGGAGAAGTGGGAAAGTCAGGAGAGATCTGCTGAGCCATGTGGTCACCTCCCTGGCCAGGCATTGAACTCATTCTGCAGTGGCTGAGGCTAGCTTCATAGTACTGAACTTTAGCCCATTGTGCCACAAAACCTTCCCATTTTTATTCTCTCTATCTTTTATAATTGTGCCAGAATTTTTGTTTAATTAATCTTCAATGTTTACATTATTATGACTTATGTAAATACCATTTACTACTGAGCCAGGTGGTACACTATGGTTTTTTTCCAGAAAGCCTGTCTTTTATTTTCTTAACTGTTATATACCTATGACTAATTCTTCCCCAACTACTTCAAACAATCAATACCTCAAAATATAATTTTCTTCATAGACCATGCATCAGATTGCTCTGTTATGCCTATTTGCTGAAAAACCTGCCTCCTGGAGCCTTTCAGAGTGACACCCTCTGCACTCACCACACAGTTGTCATCCTAGAGCTCCATAACTGTGTCCCTATGTATATGCTCTCATGGTTGATGATACAATGTTGTGATTCCTAACCTGGGCATTCAAGGATATTTTGTCAGAGCTCTGAAAGTTTTTAAATTGCAGATTTTCATTTCAAGAAATATTTTGCCTATCAGTAGACAACTCTTGCAATGATAGTTCACAATGGAAAGACATTTTTCAAGCATTTGTATAACAGGGTCACTAGCATACTCTCAGACACCTGCAGCAGTATCTTTAAGGAGGGTCCCTTTGCAAACCACTCAAGCATAAGAAACGCCCTATTAACTCAAAGTATTGCCCCCTACAGTGCTGTATCAGCTCTAACTGATCCTTGGCAGGGGTCAGAGGATGGGGTACCATGCATTACTCAGACATTCAGCTGCCCAACCTCTATGTGCCAGTGGGTACCTAGCATACACACACCTCTGTTCTGTTCTTTATTTGGATCTAATCAGTCATTCGCCACTAAATAATGACTTTTCTTGAACTTTTTATTTAGGACATTTTTATATTTCTAGAAATACTATGAGAATAGTACAGAGTCCCCATATGTCCCAAAGCCAATTGCCCCTACCATGGACATCTTTAATAAATATTAATGCATTCATGTGAAAATAGACCAATACTTTATTCAGATTCTCTTTAGTTTTTAATCTAACATTTTTCCTGTTTTAGGATCACATCCGGGATGCCAAGTTGTGCTGAGTCATCACATCACCTCCGTAGTTTCCTCTGGGCTATAACGGTTGGTAAGATTTTCCTTAATTTTGATGACCTTGACAAGTTTTGAGGACTGGTCAGGTATTTGTAGAGTATCTCATTTGAGATTTGTCTGGTGTTTTTCTCATGATTAGACAAAGGTTGTAGGTTTGGGGAAAGCAAACCACACAGGTAAAATTATGTTCTCTCAACATGACTTATCCCTGTTGTTGACTTTGCTCTCTGGCCAAGGTAGTGTTTGTCAGGTGTCTCCACTGTAAAATGACTCTTCCTCACCCCTTTCCATACTTTATTTTTTGGAAGGAGTTCACTGCAACACATTGTTAACAACTAGGAATTTATGCTTCTTCCCTCCTTAAGGCAGAGCAGGGCATCTATATAAATTATTTGGAATTCTTCTGCATGGGAGAGCTACAAGTTCTTGCCCATCTATTTATTTGGTATATAACAGTATGTATGAATAGCTATGTTATACTTTGGGTTATAATCAAATGCTATTTTTTTTTTTTTGCTCAATCCTAACTTGGCCATTGGGGCTTCTGTGACCTTTTCATATCCTCCCCCCATTATTGTATATTTTGTATGGAGAATTTTACTTTCCGGCACTTACAAGATGCCCCAGACTTATTTTGTCTATTTTATTTTATATATTTACTTATATATATTATTTTTGTTTTTAAAGATTTATTCTTTTGTGTAGAAGAACTAAGGTACAGGCCAGAGATGTCAGGGGTAAGAAGATTCACCAGAGACAGAGTGGGGAGCGGAACAGGCAGATGTACTGAAATACACTGTTGAGGGGAGCAGTGGGCGGGTCAGGACAAGTCTGCTGTGCCAGTGGGTCACCGCCCTGGCCAGGGATCGAATTCAGGCTATAGCAGTGATAACACTAAAACTTAATCTGTAGACCACCCAGGAGACCCATCTTGTATATTTTAAATAGTTGTTTTCACAATGTGTCTATTAGAATTAATTACTGTTTTATAACTCAGAATCTAGAACAAATATTTCCTGGTGTAGGGAGTTGGATATAGAAATAGATGTTAGGTTAAAATTCCCCATAGCACCTGCTTTCCTTCTTTTAATTCTTACCTCTACAAGAACCATAACCAAGGGCCAGAGACCTCAAAATGTCCAGCTTTCCTTGCTGTTCACCCACTCTTTGTCCTGTCAACTTCCCTGTTATGCAGATGTTTGCTTGCCCTTCCTTCCTCTCCATCCCATAGCTGATGCTCAGCTCAGACCCTATGCTCACAGTTCTGCATCAAAAGCCCTCTCCGCATGGAAGCTTCCTTGTCCACTTGCTTTGCTGACAAAGCAAAACTGCCCTTTTCCCTTCTGCTAATTACTATTAAACATCTGTAACTCTACTTAGGATGGCTTCCGCTGAGATTGGCATCCAGAGGCTTTTACAAATATGGCCCCACACAGCTGCATCTCCCAGGGCCCCTGCCCATGGGCACTCTTGGCTACTCTGGAACACTGGTGCTGAGCACTGGGTTTACAGTCTAGAGAACGCTACTCCATTCCCTGCTTGTTGAACCCAGCATACAGGCCACATCTTCATCCCTAAGCACTTCCACTGGACTCTACTTATAACATCCTCAGAGCCTACATCATTCTCTGTCTGGTCTTACAGTTGTGGAACTTTCCCACTAGATTGGAAGCCTCTTA